CATAATCCCGTGCAAGCTTATCCGTGACAGACATGGGGGTTGAGACGCTCTTACAATTCGACATGTGAGCTCGTTTGAGTAAGTCAGACGCATATTTATGTTGGAGAAGAGTGATTCCCCTTGAATTGTGAGAAACCTCAATCCCCAAAAAATAATTTAATCGGCCAAGATCTTTGATAGGAAAAGTTGTTGACAAGTTACATACCAACTTATCAACTAGTTTTTGAGAGGAACCAGCAATCACAATATCATCTACATAAACGAGCATGTAGATAAGATCACTCCCACGATGAAAAATGAAAAGAGATGTGTCAGCCTTGGACGAATGAAATCCAAGTTGATGTAGCTTGTCACTTAGCCGAGAAAACCATGCGCGAGGTGATTGTTTTAGTCCATAGATCGCCTTCTGAAGTTTGCAGACATGATGAGGGTTGTGAGAATCTTCAAAACCTGGAGGTTGCTGCATGTAAACCTCTTCATTTAAGAAGCCATGAAGAAACGCATTACTTACATCAATCTGGCGAAGATGCCATCCTCTGGACACTGCAAGAGCAAGAATCAAACGAACCGTTGTGGGTTTGACAACTGGACTAAATGTGTCTTGATAGTCAACTCCATACTGTTGAGTGAAACCCCGGGCCACCAGACGTGCCTTATGTTTATCAATAGAACCATCAGGACGTTGTTTAAGCTTGAAAACCCATTTGCAGCCAACGACATTTACATTAGATGGCCGTGGTACCAAAACCCATGTATTATTCTTCTGAAGGGCAGAAAATTCAGCTTTCATGGCGTGTCGCCATGCTGGATCATCCAAAGCCAGTCGATAGGAAGTAGGTTCAGCAAAGAAGGCACGCCTATTGGGATTATAAAGTATTGTTCCATCAGTAAATTTTCGAGGGCAAGTCTTCCCTGCACGAGCTCGACTCATGATTCCTGATGTAGATGAGGAAACATCACCAACAATTGGACTTGCTGGAACAGGAGAGGCCGGTGGAGTGTCAGTCGTGGCAGTTATAGTAGTCGAATCAACGAAACCAGTAGGAGTTGTATTGTCACTGTTGTCAACAGTAGCAGCAGGAGCTGCGTTTTCAATGGTGTCAACAGCAGGGGGATCTGATGACGACATGACTGGTGTTCTTGGCAAGTGACTCTGCTGTTGTAATGACGTTGGTGGAGACACCTGGATACCTGTGTTATTACTGGTTGTGGTTCTCGGCATTTAAATGGTAACCACAGGAGCTAATGGTGCTGCAGCTGCATTAGAATGGTTAGCCAATAAAAAAGATAAGTCATAATTCCGCAAATGGTCATTCGAGATACTTGGTTCAGATTGAGGAAATGATGCCACCTCAGACCTAGGAGATGGTGTGGTAGAGACAGAAGAGGTTGCATATGGGAATCGTGATTCATCAAAAATCACATCCCGAGATATATAAATTCGACCAGTATTCATATCCAAACACTTGTACCCTTTGTGCATTGAGCTATACCCTAAGAAGACACACATTTTAGATCGATATGCAAGTTTGTGAGTATTATATTTACGAAGACTTGGCCAACACGCACACCCGAAATTACGAAGAAAGGAGTAATCAGGGGTGATTTTTAGAAGACGTGTGATGGGTGTAGAATTTTGTATTGTGCGACTAGGCATACGATTTATTAGATAACAGGCTGTTAAGAAAGCTTCGTCCCAAAAACGAAGTGGAAGAGAGGAATGAGCTAAAAGAGCCAAGCCTGTTTCAACAATGTGTCGGTGTTTTCGCTCAACCATCCCATTTTGTTGAGATGTATGGGGACATGACACGCGATGAGCGATACCTGTTTGCTGAAAATATTTATGGAGCTTGTGATATTCACCACCCCAGTCAGATTGTATAGTACGGATTTTAGTATTCAACAAACGTTCAACATGAGTTTGGAAATTATAAAAGACTTGTTCAACATCAGATTTATGTTTAAGGAGATAAATCCAAGTATAACGACTGTAGTCATCCAAGAAACTAACATAGTATTTATAACCTCCACTAGACACTTGAGCTGGTCCCCAAACATCAGTATGAACAAGCTCAAGTGGAAAAGTTGTAATATGAACAGAGTTATTATAAGGAAGCTGATGACTCTTTGCACGTTGACATGCATCACAAATAGAAGACATATTATCAAAAGAACAACCTAGTTTATTTGACTTTAAAATAGTTTTAACGATTGCTGAAGTAGGGTGACCAAGACGCCGATGCCACTCTAGAGACGAAACTTTAACACTAGATGCGACTTGATGAGGAATGCGAGAAGTATGAGCAATGGGCACCGGGAAAAGACCTCCTTTGCTTTTACCGAGTAGAAGCGTTTTCTTCGTGACCTTGTCCTTAACAAAGAAAACATTAGGGTGAATTTCAATAAACACATCGTTATCAGAAACAAGTTTATGAGCAGAAAGAAGATGCTTATTGATTTGGGGAACACGTAATATATTTTTAAGAACAATGGGTCGACTTAGACTGGGAATTTGAGAATGACCAATATGGGAAATATGCAAACCTGTTCCATTGGCAACTTGAACCTGGTCTTTTCCAAGGTATCGCTCCTGAATGGACAAGCGATCCAAATTACTTGTTAGATGGTCTGTAGCTCCGGTATCGATATACCAGTTGGTGTCATTGTTGTAGTTTTGTGTGGTAGCACTATTCCCTCCATGATACTCTTCTGCCTGATAGGCATGATTGAATCGATTTCTGCAAACCAACGCGGTATGACCTGGAATACCACATACTTGACATCGTGGACCACTACCATTTTGCCTGCCACCGCCACGGCCACGACCATGTCCACGACTGCTGCCCCTGTTTCGATAGTTGTTTCGATAATTATTGTTGAAAGTATTGCTGCCATTGTTGCTGTAGTTGCGCCGAGATCCACTAGACTCCTGCCTTGTAGCATTGTTAGCAGACGAGATGAAGTCTGTAGGTTTGTTCATTGTTGTAGTTTGAGTCTCATGTGCAATCAGATAAGAATAGAACTCTGGTAGTGTCACCTCTCGTTGGTTGCTGAGAACAGTGATGGCAGTAAATAAGTCCCCGTGGCCTGGACCTAGACCGGCTAGAATGTAGCCTATAACTTCCTCATCAAGCATGGGGTGACCAATGTTTGCCATAGTGTCGGCAAGCCCCGTCATCTTCTGATAGTATTCCGACGCACTCATGTCGCCCTTCCTTGTTGTTGAGAGTTGCGTACGGATCTGAATTGAGTTCCCTCTGTGTTGGGCAGAGAACATTGTATGGAGAGCATCCCATACCTGTTTTGATGTATCAGTACAACGAGTAAGCTGTGACAATACGTCTTCTGTCATAGACGACAATAATCCTCCGAGGATTGCTTGATCTTGAACAACCCAATTCTGATAATCAGGATTGTCGGCCGTCTTTGCTTCTGCACTGGTTCCCACAGTTATCTTGGCAGCAGGAACAGTTGTTGTTCCATCAAGATATCCATAGAGTTGGACACCACGAAGAATAGGAACAATTTGGGCCTTCCAAAGTAGGAAGTTGGTACGAGTTAATTTGCAGGTGATGGCAGTGGCGATTTTAGAAGAATTAATGAAAGAAGGTGCCATAATGAACAAGAACCAGATGCCGTGAGTAAAAGTGGAGGGTAAAATCGGAACCCTAGGGATCTGGCTCTGATACCAAATCAACAATGATAAGAAAGTATAAATTGCCTCATAATAGTCGTAGGCTCCATTATCAATTATATATAGCACAGTAACATACAAGGATAAGGATTACAATCATTTAAATAAACTAGACCTTATCTATATAACAACTCACATATGTACGTTATCTCTAAGGCTTCTCTTTACAAAATGGTGAAAAAACGATACCGAATACCGAACCGAACTTAAATTACCAATATTAGGCTAAGCGGTGTCATACTTATTTACTGCCGGTGAGTGCAAACGTGGCATGTTTACTGCCGGTAAACACCGGGCCGCAACTTCCTTTTTACCGCCAGTACCGCAGGTGGGTTTCTACGGTTGGCATTGAGACTTGTTGTGTCTTTCTCTCTCTACTCTTTTTCTTCCTTACCTACGGTGAACACTATGAACACTACACCCTAACTATTTTTAAAAATGACAAAAGTTATAAAGATGTCACCATCACTTTATGAACACCACACCCCCGGTACTATGAATAATATTTCTAATACGTGTCCTTACGACAAATGATTAAGAATACGATCATGCTCATCCCTATTATACCAAATGTATGCCCTCTTATAAAAGAGGTTGAATGTAACGTAAAATGATCACCTTGGAAATTAATATTACAATTTCAAGTTAGGTTTCTTGAGTATTTTGTTGTTCTTAGTTCCTTTCTGCGTCGAAAACAGCCACAGCCCACAAACCGTGTTGCATGATAAGCATAAAACTCCACAAAAATAGATTGGGAACATACATATCTAACATAAATAAAAAAGAAATAGACATCTTGATGACAAAGCTTGGAGGTTACGTTTCAAGTACAAAGAAACCCGAAAACAAAGGAAAAACCATGGAAATATCTTAAAAGACAAGAATACCCTTAAAAGAAAATAGAAGAACTTGGACTTCTACTTCACTTTCAGTACTTGATAAACCCAATATAGGAAATTCATTGCTAGGTTCCTATTAAAATTAAAGGAAAATGCATGTTACAAACATAAGGAACTAACATCACCAGTAGACTATCCGAATTGCGTTGCATTTAACCCTCCAAAATGTCTTTAACGCGTATCCAAATGCTTATAACTTTCTAAATTGTCGCAAACAAGAAATTTAACGCCAAATTCGTTGCAATTAAGTGGGAAAGAATCAGGATTGACCAAGATTTTTTGAAGGATTACCATTTACCAAAAAAGAAACTATAAATATGTACACAAATATTACAAAATTCACAATGTGAGATCAGAGAACCCAAAATCGAGAAAAAAAAAACCCAAACTTGATATTCAATCTTGAAATGGAGGTAAAGCCGGTGGTTGCAGTGGTTACACAGAAGCTGACAGACACCTTGAATGACGAATCGGTAGCCGATAACAAGGTCATGATACATCAACTCAAAGGCGTCATAAAGTCTCTTAAGAAGCTCCAAAGCTTCTCTGAAGAAAAGGGCGATTCAGATGCATCCCAGAGGGCAACAGACCATCTTCGTGTTCTTTATGAGGTTGAAGACGAAGTTGAGAAATTCACCTTCCGATTTGCTCAACAGAGAAAGAAGTTTGGTTTCTTAATGAAAATAACCTTCTTCTTCAACAATCTTAACTCCTGTCGTAGGCTCAAACGGAAGATCAAGAAAATTCAGACTCAGATTCCCGCTTCTCCTCGAGACGTGTCTGTTAGAACAAACAGTTCATTGTCCCAGCAGAACTCAGTGACAACCGTTTCTGATGACATTGACACCACCGGAGAAGAATATCAGAACGATGATGAAGATGATTTCAGCTACGAAACACATCCCCTGACGCAGAAGAGTTCCTCGCATGTTTGGGTAATTTCAGAAATCCCAAGTAGCCCTAGCCCTAAACGGGGGCTTTTGACTCGGTCTTTCACAATGATCCCGCATCTGGAGAAGATTCAGATATCGTCGAGTTTCTCTAATCAAGAAGAAGAACTCGGGATTTTCGGGCTTGATGATGACATCAAAAGCTTGGTGAAATGGGTGACGCAACAACATGAAAGGAACGTTTCTAGATTCATCGACGGAATCAACATTCCGGTGAAAAAACAGTCGAGGAAAAATGAAATTTTTGTCCCGATTGTTGGTAAATTAGGTTCAGGAAAGACCACTCTTGCTCGTGCAGTTTATAGAAACAGAAAGATCAAGGATCACTTTGAACTCCATGATTGGGTTTCTGTAACAGAAGAGTATACAGCAGATCGTATCTTGCACAGTGTGTCGAAGAAGGTGGGTTTGGTTAACGAGAATGGAAATCAAAATCAAAGTCTCCTCGATCACCTCAAGGGTAAGAAGTACCTGATTGTGATAGATTGTGTCGGGAGTCGTGGTGTGGTGGAAGATCTGATAGAAGCTTTTCCTGACGAAAATAATGGAAGTAAGGTAATCTTCACCTCTCGTGAAGTTTGGAGAAATCGAGAGATGAACATCAATCCCCATATCTTGCAACCATTAAACGCAAAGGAAAGCTGGAGTTTGTTTCTGAAGAAGGCTGGAAAGGAAAAGGAGGCTGATCAAAATCAAATCCACCCGATGACAAGAGGTAGGATCTTGAATATCTGCAGAGGTCTCTCTCTGAATATCGTCCTCATTGCTAAATTGCTATCCACTAAGAGCATAGCAAGATGGTCCTCTGTAATTGTTCTTAATCAATATTCTGACGACGACGTTTTGAGCCTATGTTATAATGACCTTCACATCCAGAAAAAGTTATGCCTTTTATACCTCTCTCTTTTCCCAAAAGATTACGATATTCCAGTACGAAGGTTGCTCAGGCTATGGCTTGCTGAAGGATTTGTGAAGAAAAGGTTTGTGAAGAAAGGATCCGAAGAAATCTCCCCTGAAGATTTAGTACAGGAATATTTCGATAATTTGGTTGATCGGAGTATGATTGAGATAACCAAATTTAGGTCCGACAACAGCCCTAGACATTGCCGTTTAGTCTCTGTTTTTCACGACTACCTGCTACCAAAGGCTCAAGACATCAGCCTCTTCTACATCCACCGCAATTCAGAATCTCTTGAAGATGCTGCAAATCCGTTTGGTGTTCGTCGGATGGTTCACCACATGACAACCACCGGAGCCGCCGCCGCCACCACCAGAAGGGCACATTCCGAGGAAGAAGACGCCACTCTCTCTTCTTCTCCGAGTTCCCTTTCTTGTTTCTTTCCAAGTTGCAGAGAAAATATAGATGCCTCCGATCTCCAGCAATCACAGCCTCATAGTTCCACTTTTGATCCCTCTCTTTTGAGGTCTTATGTGTCGTTTAACTTCCAACGTAAGGACATGCCAGAAAGAGAAGTTGGAATACTTTTGGGGAGAATTATCAACAGTCGGTTTGGATTATTGAGGGTGCTTGATCTAGAAGGTGTTTGCAAACCTAATCTGCCTGAGAAACTCGGTCAATTGTGTCATCTGAGGTACCTAGGGCTGAGATGGACGTTCTTAGAGAGTCTCCCTGAATCTGTGGGTGACCTGACTTATCTAGAAACCCTAGATGTGAAGCACACTTGTGTAGATACTTTACCCGACTCCATTTGGAAGCTGAAACACCTTCGTCATCTCAATCTGAACAACATTCGACTTGCCATGCCACCTAGCAGTTCTTCGAGTCTCCTCACGCTATGGGGATTGGTTTTAGATGAGAAGATATCAGTAAACGAGGGTTTGGGGAAGTTGCTTGATCTTAAAGAGTTGGGGATTAAGTTTAACCTAAGCAAAAGCCAAGGCGTATTGCTTGAATGGATTGCAAAATTGAAAAATCTTCAATCGTTGAGGTTAATATCTGTAGATGACATGGGTCGACCTTCGAGGCTAGATCTGAAACCACTACGGGATTTGGAGAAACTTTCTCATCTTAATCTGTATGGGAATTTAGAAAGATTACCTGCTCCGATTGAATTCCCTCCAACAGTTAGGGTTCTTACGCTGTCAGTCTCTCGGCTAGACAATGATCCGATGGAGACATTGGAACAACTGCCTTCGTTGATGGTGTTGAGGCTTTTGGGGGATTCGTACATAGGAAAAAGAATGGTTTGTCATGGAGGAGGATTTAAGAAGCTTGAGGTGTTGAAGCTGTGGAAGCTGAATGATTTGGAGGAATTGGATGTGGAGGAAGAAGCAATGGAGAGACTCAAAGAACTAGACATCAGACGATGCCATAACTTGAACGACATCCCTTGTAGATTGCTGCAAAAACAGAGGTGCTTGGAGGAATTGATATTGACAGACATGCCGGATGATTTCGTGGAGAGGATCAAGAAAAGAAAATCAAAGGATACATCTATGACAATCAACCCTTGGAAACTTGCTCCATAGGCTTTGTGAGCTCTTGCTTTCGATGGTTACAACTTACCATTACAATTTTCTTTGTCTTTCTTCATTGATCTACCATTAAAATTTCTCCTAGTCAAGTGTTTTATGTTGGAATATAATTCCTACTTTGAATACTCTTGGACCATTTATGTGATATTTTAATAGTGAATGTAGCAGTTGGTGATAATCCTAATGTTGCCATTATGACATATTTGGTGTATGCACTTATGTAATGTTGACATATTATATTTGGTATATGCATATTTAATGTATGCACTTATGTAATGTTGACATGTGAATATGTGATGGATGTGGATGACATAACAATTACATAAGGAGCCAAATGGTTAATTTTTTACGCACATATTGTGAGAATCAGAAAGAGGCTCATGAACTCTCTTGTTCCTCTTACTTCTCAAGCGCGTCAAGATCGATTTCCACCGATTGTGCTCTCCATCATAAGAGACGTGTATCCATAAATAATCGGTCAAGATATCATCATGGTATCAATATCTCCTACTTCTACACATCATGGATTCGCAACATATTGATGATTGTAGTGTCTTTTAGTATAGTGGGGATGTACAAGAGACCCGTTGAGTTTAATTTTAGCTACAATACAACTATGGAGATGCGGACTGTATCTTTGGATAAGCCAAAGTGAGAGAACATTGGGTCTGGGTACGGTGCCTTTGGCCGTGGGGGTCCAAGGGGCGGTGCCTCCGGTGCTTGTCCATATACAATCTGATATACCCGACATTTGATTTTCTGCCAAAACCAATTGCCACGACTGTTGGGAATAGTTGACTTTTTCTCTGCAAAAAATTAACGGAATATAACTTCAATCAATCAATCTCTCTCTCTCTCTCTCTCTCTCCTCTCTCCTCCTCTCTCTCTCTCTCTCTCTCTCTCTCTCTCTCTCTCTCTCTCTCTCTCTCTCTATATATCTATATAGATATATATATATATAGATATATATATATATATATAGATATATATATATATATTAGGGAAGGGTTCTTTGGAAAATAAAAAAACCCTAAAAAACCCCCAAAAATCATAAAAATGCATAAAAAAAATACCTAGAGATCACAAAACTTTTTTTTGACATTTTTTATGAAAAAATCGCAAGTTTTTAAAGAAATTCACTGAAAAAAAATTTGAAAAAAAAACTTTTTTTTATAAAAAAAAAATGATTTTTTTTTTCAACGAAATTTTAATAAAAAGCTGCGATTTTTTATAAAAAAAATTCAAAAAAAAGTTTTGTAATCTCTAAGTATTTTTTTATGCATTTTTATGATTTTTAGGGTTTTTTTAGGGTTTTTTGTTTTCCATAGAACCTAAACCAAATAAAAGTATATTTATACACACACACACACACTAGCCGTTTACCCGCGCCAAACGACGGGTGCGAATAGTTTTCAATGACATATATAAGTGTGTTTCTGTTTTCGTTTAAAAATAAAAGTATATTTATAATGTGGGGATAATGACTTGAAAGGGTAATGGAGTTTCGATTTTGTTCATATTTAGTCACTAAACTTTTTTCATTATCTATTTGCCAATAAACTATTGAAAATGTTCACATTTGACCCTTATGACCGGTAATAAAGGTAAAATGTGAACAGTTTCAATAATTCAGTGGCAAATAGATAATAAAAAAAGTTTAGTGACTAAATGTCAACAAAGTTCAAAAGTTTTCTTCCCTCTCAAATTATCCTAATACTATACCCCGAAAAAGGTATAAAAAAACGAAAAACGAAACTAATATTATATGTATAAGTTTTATGTTATAAACTATGCAATATTATATGTATAAAAATTATCCTAATATTATATGTATGAATTTTGTGTTATAAAATTATGTAACATATTAATTGACATACATTAAACCATATACGTTGTTTATAAAAGAATACATACATACATTGATACATTATATATGTTGTTATACTCCATGTATTGACATACATCATATTAGTATATTTACTATTAAAAAGAATATCGAAATTTTCATATTACACACAACATACATTTAGAAGTATTTTTAATATTATTATTCTTTTTAATTTTTCTTATGTAACTTGTGTTAACATATAAATACATGTAGTTGAAAACATACATACGGTTAAACACATACATACGGTCAAATATATAGATACATAAATGGTCCATATTATATTACAATTTCAAAAATAGCCCCGTATGTAAAAAGTTATTATAGGAATTCTCCCTCGTTAGTTAGAAATTTTTGATTTGATTTTTTTTTATTTTTAATGATTGTATTTTAAAAATAAAATGGTATAGTATTAATTTGTTTGTGAGTTAAAGCATCTTATTTTCATTAAAGAAGAAAAAACAATAAAGAACAATATGGTATCTTTACTTTAAACATACACAAAATAACTTTTCTTGACTAGTTTTGTACAGGAAACACACAGAGTCAAATATAAATCGAAATTGCCCAACGAACTAACCAACAACATCCGAGAGAGGAAAATAAGTTGATTCTTTAATGAAACTAAGCAACAACATCAATTTTAAATCTATTATTAATAACTATTGGATTTACATTAAGGATGTCGTCTTTATAAAGATTTCAAGCTAACTTGCATCAGCTCAAACATGAAGTTGAGCATCGATATTCAGATAGAATCAAAACACCATATTGGTAGCCAATAATGTTAGATTAGGTGTCTAAGGTCAAAACTAAATTGATATAACTTTATGAACTAAAAACAAAATACTTTTTGGGTAGCCCTTAATAACTAGAAACAGTTAGGAACAACTTAAGGAGCATGATGAAATAATTCATTTTTTATACCTTTTTCGAGGTATAATATTAGGATAATTTGAGAGGAAAACGAACTTTCAACTTTGTTCACATTTAGTCACTAAACTTTTTTTTTCATTATATTTGCCATTGAACTATTGAAACTGTTCACATTTACCCTTATGACCGAGAGTAAAATGTGAACAGTTTCAATGGTTCAGTGGCAAATAGATAATGAAAAAAGTTTAGTGACTAAATGCGAATAAAGTCAAAAGTCCATTACCCTTTCAAGTCATTATCCCTTATAATGTGTATTGTTGATTTGGGTTAAAAAATATACATGAAACGTCAATTTTTAACAATTGTAATTTTCAAAAAATATTTATTGAACTAAAATAGAAAAATATTAGGTTAAAATTTTAATTTAGGATATTTATTTTACTTTAATATAAACTTATTATTTATTATTTAGTCAATTTTGAATAAATTATATTAAACAATTATCTTTGCTATGAAAATTTTCAAATTTGAAATCAGTTTAAACTGTTATAATGGAGCATAGAGCATACAAAACATAATAAAAAATGAAATGTGACAATAAAACCACCAAATTTAGAATTTATTCCATACAAAATTTTCAAGTAGAAAGTTATAAATTAAATCATATCTATATTGCTATTAGGAATGCAATATGTTTCATGTAACCATAACCATCCTATACTTCGTTCTTTTTTTTTTTGCATGCTTTGACCAAATGATTGATAACCAAAATCAAAACCTGATCAATCGATTAAAAGTCAAACTGATAGTGGAGAAAATTAGTAGAAAACTCAACATTCAATCAATAGCCCTTGTTTTCTGAAAGAAGTCATCATTTAAATTTGTAGCAAATACAATCAAAGAGCAAAATGGTTCCTTGATCAACCTGTGTTAGGTGCAACTTGTGCACCTTTTTGCACATATTTTACTCCCTCTTATGCATCTATTTAGCATAATTGTTCTTCATTTGTCTTGCATTTCATCATATTTCATGTTAGTCTCTAGAACAACCTTATTTGCACACTTTCATGTCTTTTTCAGGTAAACCGGAGCTTGGAATGTGTTTTGGGAGGTGTCGGGAAGCATTGGTGAAGATTTCGGGATGATCGGGCGAAGAACGAAAAAGTTGGAAAAATCAAGTTTCGATTCGGTGTCAGAAGGGTACACGGGCCGTGTTGGATGGCGTGTCAAACCCAACAAATAATAGGGGTACAACAAACTCCAAATACACTGCTTTAATACACTAAAAAGGTAGTACAAGGCAAGCAGGGTCGACCCACAGAGACACAGGATAAAAGTTTATACCTCTTTGCGTAAGGTACTTTGGTCACAAAGGGGGATTTGTTTGCAAAAGTCAAATAATGAAAATAACAATCAACATTGAAACATGCAGAAAATGAAATGGATTTATAAACAAGTTGTAAAAGTGCTTCCAGTTCTAGTTTTGAATGTTGTCATTTAACCTGATTATGACTTGATGCAATATGTGATTACTATTCTAAGTTGGTACTGAAAGATATTAACACGCTCTAATGCCTCTCGCTTGCCAAATTATCTAACCAAAACACGCTCTTTGACTAGACCTAGCTTTACTAATTCAACCTAAACACGCTCTTAGATTGCATTGAAAAACTGCATTAAGTTTTGTACAAGCTTCCCAACAATGTTCATTTCTTCTCATACGCTCAGAAGTATGAAAACATGTGATAAATGTTCTACAATAAGAGAACTTATTGTTTGTTACCAACCATTAACTTTATAGAATGATTATGTGCTCTAAAAGTTAGTTAACTACACAAAAATTCAATTCATGAAAGTGGCCAATCAAACACAAATCAAATTTAAGGATTCTAGTTTAAACAAGAACATAATCACTAGAATAGAATCACAATTCAAACATCAAATCATATGCTTCAAGTCAAGCAATCAACATGTTTTGAACAAGAACTAGAAACTAGGGTTTCTTAGCCACACATGGCTAGAACAAGATCACAAGAATAATGTAAAGTCCATAAATTTTACGCCGAATTCAAACTTTTTCAACTATAAATAAAAGTCAAATAGTATTGTTTACAAAATGTTTTCAAATCAATATCCATCGGAGTGTCCCAAAATCATATCATAAGGATGAGGAGCGGTACGGTCATGCCTTCGCCTTGCCACGATCTCCTGAAGTACCTAAAACAATAAA